CTCACTATGTCTCCAGGAATGACATGAGGGACGCACTGTTGACAGCAAAAAATGACAGCTTTCGCAGATGGCTGATATGGTGCGATGGATTACGACAGATTATCATCTCCGAGTTCTACGCAATCACTACTAATGGAGCAGAATCCGCTTGCAGGCAACCGAAGTCGACCTTACTACACACTACTATGACCCGAACGATTTCTATCGGGCGACCAAATGAAGTTCATGCGCTTTTCGCTGTTAGCGTGGTGCGCCGACACTTGTGGCAAGGTGTAAGGTGCGTGCGATGATTTACATGCATTATGCAGCACCAGTGTAGCGGTATTCTTCAATTGTCCTCGCCACCAGTTGCCTCGTATTTTGAACCCTCACGTCATCACAGGATGTCAGGTTGGTGCGATGTGATTGGAGTATGGAGGGCTTCGTTGCGACTCGATTGATGCCTTCAAGATCATTGGGTCGGTGTGCCAGTTGAGCGTGGTGAGGGGATTTATGAGTGTGGTTCCGCCGAAATGCATTCATTCCCACGCAGTCTGGAGAAATCACAATTGAGTAGCCAACGATCAGGTGCTACTGAGAAGATGGAAACTCCCTCAAGAGTCCTTCGTATTTATGCAGTAGATAGAAGAATGAGCAATTGAGAAGGAGGGTGCTGACGAAATCAGCATGGACCGAGAAGAAGGGTTGATGTATCGACCTGACACACGACAGGTTAAGTGTGCTATTTCCGATGGACAAGAGGCAGTTGGTCTCCTCAATCCTCCGACAGCTCTGCCACCACCATGATGTCATGGACTGCTGCTAAGGCCTGCAGCCTCCTAGCTCTTCTGTAAGTCACAAACGAACCTTCTGCCACACGGCTATTACGCCATGATAAGGCCTCAAGGATGCCTGGAATGTGAATGTGGATGCAGATGAGGCTGCTGTAGTGCATCATGCATCAGGATTTCCAGAATGGAATCCTACTGTGGTTAGGTGCTGCAGTACACCGACCAAGTCACTGAGTTGTTAGTTGGTGGTTAGTGCATTGGCTGGCAGTGTCACCAGCTTGTCGTGGGAGAAGGAGAGGGCTTAGTTCAGCAGATAACTCAGAAGCGGTAGCAATCACCCTGTCTGTGCCAAGTTTGTCTCACACCTCACCCACACTTGTTTGAGTCCTATTTTCGTGACTCGACCAGCCGATAAAATGCGGCATCCTCGTTTGGTACAACAGGTGCCACAGCTTTGCACTCCAATGCGTTAAACCGATGCCATCTTCGCTGTCATTACGACATCATGTATCCAATCAACAGATTACATGCAGACGGTTTTCCTGTCTGACCGAAAGTATCAATTTTGCCTCCACTTACCCACCCGTGGACTTTTTCCATCCCATTGCACTCGTTTGTGCCTGCTGCAAAGGATGCATAAAATAGCGGGATGAGGTCGCAGCCACGCATTCTGTCAGTTTGATGAGTACACCGTGTTGAGGTTCTCGATGTCATTTCTACCAATGGGTGTCTGTCACTGAATGAGTTGGCATGCACTCTCTTCAATGTGGGTTTAGTTGTCCATTGGAGGATGCAAGAAGAGGAAAGTGCCAGACCAGGAGTTGGAAAGCAAATGAAAGCATTTACCGGCTGTTTGGAATTACTCAGGGCTGTCTATTGGTAGACACAAGGGAATACATTTCGGAGGATCTGCTATTACCAGGGTAGAAAGGAGGGCATGATTAGTCTGCGGAAGTTGAAGAGAGAGGTGTGTCGGTGACGTGGAGGGAAGGGGAGATGGGATGGAGGGGACAGCACACGATACGTGGTTATCCCATAGAAGTGGATAACTGTGAAGGAAAGATGACATTGCATGAGAGTGCATCATGCGATCAGTGATTTGGGGCAGTGAGGATACGAATGAGTCAATGCCGCTTTGTGAGTGATCGCGTTGAGGATCTCACATGGTTGTTGATGGAGTGGAAGGTAAGGAAACTGAAGGCGATGGTGGGAGGAAGGGTGAGGGTGGTGTTGTTGTGGTGGTGGTGGTGGTGTTGGTGAGGGTGGTGGATTTACAGCATGACACTTGTGACACATCCTCGCTACTCACACTGCAGATGACACCCCTCATGAAGAGAGGATGAAGTTGCTCATGTCGCCCGTGCATTCATTCTGTCAGTGCGTGACAAGGCAGTTCAGTCTGCTTGTGTGAAGCGCCAGTCAGTTGAGTGGCTATTGGATGCGATGCAATGCAACGCATAGTTGGAGGTTAGTGTGGTTGGAAAGTGGACTGCGGCACAGGAAACAGGCCTGTTCTCAATGAAGGTTGGTTCGGTTACCAGGTGTTTATATTTCCCCTTCACCCAAAGGGACAACATCCGGTGATGAGATGTAGCAAGAAAAGACGTACATCGCTAAGGTGGTTGGCAAGTGGTTGGGTGAGGAGGGGAATGCTGTGCTTTCAATGCAATTTGATGTCTCACCTATCTGGGCAGTTCTGACGTGGGAGTGCAGCACACTTCGCACTGCACAGTGGTGAAGGCCTCGAGATGTGCGAGGGAAAGGTGTTGTGGCTTGAGGTGAGCACTTGGTGTGGCCGAACAAGAGAGCATAGGGCAATGCAATGAGTCGGTTTCGTGCATTTCCCTGTTTCCCACGTGAGGTGAAATATTTGTCCAATCAACGGGGCACGTGGTTGCCCCAAATTCTGCACTTACAAGGCACGCTCGAGGACAAGCAGTGGTTCGTGCCTCTCTTGCCTTCTCCGGACACAGTGGCTCGTTACATGCAGCAGAGTGCCTTATTAGGCCATTGCTTTCGGCACAAAAAGCAGTCAGCTACCACAGTTGAGTAGACTCACGCAAAGCAAAGACGGTAGTGGAGGATGTTTGCCTCGTTACAATAGTAAACAGTTGGCGTTCCAACTGCATTTGCCTTGACAATGATGGACTGTGCAAAATGGCTTGGTAGAGAGGGGAGACAGGAGATGGCGCTGCTGATGCAGGGCGATTTTGACGTGCGGGTAGAGTATTGAGTTGCTGAAAGGCAGGAGTGGAGTGCATTTGTGGTGGTGATAATTGCATCCACCTCATCTACCTCTTCACTCACCTCGTCATCTATACATCTTTGTAGCGCAAATGTTGAGAGTCGTGAATAATTGTGGAGTTGAGAGGTCACAGTGTCCACCGAAGAATTCGTGTTTTTACATTTACGTCGCACAAAGGGTTGTGAATTGTCCGAGTGTCCAGAATGTGGCAGGCACACTGATTTTTTTGTTCACATGGGTGAATAGTGTGATAGGAAGGGAATCACGACGCGATGCAGTGACCGAGGGAGTCAGTGACAGAAGTGCAGCCACACGAACGCGTTTACATTCAAAGCAGTCGAGTGATTCGTTACTGAGTGCCTGGGTGTCATCGGCATGATCGCACGACTTGGACTGAAGGTCTTCTGTGGATATGGGTGGAAATTGGTGGTTTGAGCTCCATGCCTTTGTTGACAAGGGATTTCACCGCCTAGCGTGATCTACACTGTTGAATTCACGCATGCAGGTAGTCACAACCACTGTTAACCATCGCCATGATGACAAGTGTTGTCTGAAGGGAAGTTGGCCACATAGGTCACTCGACCAGTTTCCAATTGAGCAGGTTCAAGGTAGCCATCACTAGGCGAATGAGCACTACTTCAGTTGCCAGAGGAAATTTAACCATCATTGCCAATTAGATGTTGTGTTGCTCCACTGCACCACTGTCCGCCACTAAGTGTGCTGCTGACAAACTCGTGTGCTGTCAACTGTTCCCTCGAGGTGGTGCGACCACTGTTTGTAACATGACAAGGCCCACCCACACATTCCGTGTGTGATGATGAGTGAGTTTAGAGGAGAAAATCAAAATGTCACATATGTGTGACACTGGTGGTTTTTGATGGTAATGTAGGTTTTTTTTGGACTAGACTAGACGAGACTGACATCGGTAGCACCAGTACTCAAGTCTTTTCTACCTTTGTTTTTGTATTCAATGCATTCATGGTGGCCTTTTGCGACATGATTACACGAGACGGGTCTAGACAAGACGGAACCAGACAGGACGTAGCGAGCCGAGACGAGACGAGTCGATGTGATAAAGTGCACAGCACTCAGTGTCTCCAGTTTAACGCTTTCCACACTTTGTAAATAATTTGCATGTTTGGCGAATGAAGGTTGCTTTGGTGGAATCAATCTCTGTCCTGGCTGCACCAAATTCAACACCAGTACCGGAGGTGTGTGCATGCAATCCAAAGTGTGTGCATACACGAAGGGAGAGTGTGAAAAGTGGGGAAAGATGAGAGCATGTGAAGTGGTAAGATGCACTTTTGCATGCATAAATAATTTCAAGGGGTGTGGAACAGCTTGTGTGTAAATTGGTGATACAATCGCCATCGTAAAAACTGAGCCTTTTGCAGCAGAGGAGACGGAGTGTTTGTGCAACCTCCACTTGGATGGGACGTGTTTTGTCGATTGTAGCGTAAAGTTGGACTCTGGCCATCGG